TAAAATGTTATGAGGGCTACAAAAGAACTCTTGAACAACAAGAAATGAATGTACACCCTGTTCCTGAACAGGAGACTGAACCTCAAAAAGATGTCAATGATCTCTAAATCAGTCTACAAATATAATGCAGTATCAATAAAAATACCAAAAGATGGGGGAGGGGAGCTCGATAAACTAATTCTAAGTTTTACAGAACACGCAAAGAATATTCAGGAAAACTCCAAGAAGTAGAATGAGAGAGGACTATAATCAAAGAATGGGGTCACTAGGTATAAATAGGTAAACTGATCAATGAAACACAATAAAAAGTCCAGTAAGAGTGCCAAATTATATGTAGGAACTAAGTACATCTATAGATAATATTTCAATACTGTGATAACTGGGTAGCAACCTAGAAGAATAGTAAATTCCTACCTGAATACTTTACATAACTTAAATTTTGTATGAATAACTTAACTTAAAAATAAATTATAAAATTACCAGGAAAAACACAAGAATTTTAATTTTAATTAGAAATAATATTGAAATAGGAAAGGCCTTTCTTATGACAAAAAAACCTAAAATCCAAAAAAAGATTAATAATTACAACTACAAAAAAACTTTAATTTCTTCTGAAAAAATATACCATAAACAAGGTTAAAAGCTAAATGAAACTGTGACAAATATCTGCAACACATAACCAAGGCAACTAATTTCCGTAAAACAGAGCTCCTATAAACAATAGTAAACATCCCAGTAGAAAAATGAACAAAAAATATAACCAGATGAATAAGAATGATAAGCAGATGTTATAAATAAAGGAAACAAATATGGCTGTATGGTTCTTATACCTATTGAAAAGATGAAGAAAAATATACCTTTTAAATTGGCAATGTAAAAAAAGTTTAATAACCCACACCATTACCAAAGGTACGGAAAGCCAGAACTCCAGCACCAATAGTGGAACACAAACTGGTACAACGTCTCTGAAGGGCAATTTGACAATATCTATCAAAATTTAAATAGCACATATCGTTTGACCCAGCAATTGTACGTCTAGCAATTTACTCTAAAGGGATATTAACTGTATCATCCTTTGGATTAGCAAGACTGTAAACGTTTTAAATGTTCATCCAAACAAAGAAATGCTACCATTTTTCTCCCCTCCTACACTCACACACACACACACACACACACACACACACACACACACAAGCCAATTAGCTTGGGTCAAAGGAAGAAGGAAAATCTGCCTTTTACCATTTGTACCACTTGTGTCTTATATCATGAACATATATCACATTGAAAATTTTTAAGTTAAGATTTTCAGTATTATTTTTACCCAGCTTTACCAATTGTTATATTTTTCCTCCTCTTTGTCAGTTTTCCAGTTCCTACATTAGCAACAATGTTTAACTGTTTCTCCAAGAAACACATGGCATTTACTAAAATTCACACAGTTAAATCACAATAGTAATGTGGGTTCATTGTCCCCATGATCTCCTTGCCCCTGAGCTCTACACCTGCATACTTATTCTACAGAGAGCACTGTCCCTGTTCTTTACTGTGTATACGGAGATTATGAGTTAGGAGAAATCCAGGACTAAGAAGCTATGAATTTCTTGGCCTATGGGGCAAACACATAATCACTATTGTATTTTAGGAGACAGAAAAAAAGTAAGAAGCTGCTCAAACAAGGTTTCATGAAACATTATTTGTGCTGTCACCGTGGATGCAGAGTCTAGTCCACTATTTTTATGTTTAAGAAATTGATTGTATCCATTTGTCCAGAGTCAATGGGGCTACAGGGAATTGAACCACACTAACCAATCACATTCACAAGAACTTAGTTGCTTACACATAATGCCAATGTATTAATTTAGAATTTAAGAATATATATGTGTGTGTATGTATACATGTATATATACATATATATTTGATGTATATGTGTATATGTATATATAAAGAGTAGCAAATCATGCATATCAAGGAATCACACACAAATGGTAATATATGCCCAAGGAGAACCACATGATAGCATGAGTGTGTATAGGGAGAAAAGAACAAATAGAAGGTCAGAGAAGACTTCCCTGAAAAACACAGTGTGATCAAGCTGAGATCCAATGGAAAATAAGTTTAAAAAAAGAACAGGAAAGGGCTTCCCTGGTGGCACAGTGGTTGAGAGTCCACGTGCCGATGCAGGGGACACGGGTTCGTGCCCTGGTCCAGGAGGATCCCACATGCCGCGGAGCGGCTAGGCCTGTGAGCCATGGCCGCTAAGCCTGCGCGTCCGGAGCCTGTGCTCTGCAACGGGAGAGGCCACAACAGTGAGAGGCCAGCGTACCGCAAAAAAAAAAAAAAAAAAGAAGAAGAACAGGAGGAGTAAGAGGGTTGCTGGATGATGGAATAGTAAGTACAATGGCACTGTGGCAGAAGGGAGCATGATCTAAGGAGGTAGAAAAAGATCAAAGAGCAAGACAACATGATGTAGGGTTATCTGGAGAGCTAGAGAGGGGCCAGACCATGCGGTGGCTTTTGGGCCATGTTAAGGACTTTTGCCTCATCTTAAGAGCGATGAAAAGCTAGTAAAGGGTTGTAAGCTGAGATGAGAACAGACTTGTGCTTGCAAAAGATTAGTGTGCTGTACACACTGCAGGGCAAGAGTAGAAGCAGGAAGACTGCTTAGAAAGCTGGTGCAGGAGACCTAAATCAGGGATGATGGCAGCATGGACTGCCACAAATAAAATAAATAGGACTTGGTGACTGATTGCACCTGAAATGCAAGGAAGAGGAAACCCTTAAGGAGGATGCCCAAGTTTCAAGTGTGTATAACTGCAGGAATAAAGATGCTATCACTGAAAGAGAGAACACTCCAAGACCAGGTTGTTTTGATTTTGTTGTTTTGTTTCTTTGGGGGCTAGAGAGAGGGTAGATGTGCAAAAAAGTAAGAAAGGGTTCTGAGTGCCCAGTATCTGAAAATCTTGCTAGAGAAGGATGAAAAATGGAAAATGGGATTAGAATTCAAAGGCGGGAGAAAGTTAGCTCAAAAACTTATTATTTTTTAACCTCCATGGTCAGCCATAAAACAGGCCTAGAGATTTCTACCCCTCCCCATCACCTAAAATCTTTTTAAACATATCAAAATAAAATCTTTCAATCAAGGGGAGAGGTAAGGCTTAAAATGCAATACTTGTAAAAATAAAGAATTGGTGTGAAAGAATTTCAAAGTATATACCGAAACATCAGATGTTCTTAATTCTGAGAGTGAAGAGAAGACAGAGGCTTCCTACTTGGGAAAGGAAGAATTAAGTGCCAGTCAAGGAGAAAAGAAAGCAGAAAAGAAGAGCTGATGGTTCCACTGCATGAATTTTCAGTTTAAACACATTTATCTTTACCTCTGGACAAATGGGTGTTCTTGGCCTTGTGTGCTAAGAGAATGCAGAGATAGCTCCACACCTAACCCCCTTTTCAGAAATTATGGCCTCCACTGCCATCAGGTGGTGGCAATGAGGAAGTACACCAACCAGTTTCTTCGAGCCTATATGAATGCCTATATGAAGCCTATGGTATAATTAATCTAAGATCAAAGTCCTAAGATTGCAGTAGTAGAGGACAAACTGGTTATAGTCTTTGGTAACAGATTTATCTTCTAACCTGTCAATACACAAAAATGAAATTTTTTGCTATTAATTTGGGGTAAGAAAAAAAGATTTCTCCTTTTTTTCTTTTTCATGTTAAAGAGCATATATTTAGCAATTTTAAGAATACCCAGTCTGATACTATCATCTCAAATCCAACTTTTGGTGTATTATATATTTGACTAAAACTGCTTCACTGTTAATTTTAATGGCACATATAAATGGTGCATTTCTAGCATACATCAATAACCTTATCACAAACACAAGCAATTGTCTCATTGAATATGCAAAATTCCCTTTATCTTCAAATTAATCAAATAATAATTTTTTACTACTTGGAAGTACAAGGCATGGTAGTAAACACAATTCAAAAACCCTCATATTCTCAAAACTCATCAGCTAAACAAATATATCACTGATAAAATCAACTTCAATCTTATTCACAAAAAACATGGTGAAAGATTAACACACATTCTTGATAGTTCTCGTCATGGTAAAAATAAACTTGCCCAATATAATATCTGACATTCTGGGCAGTACACCTTTATTCTACTATACTGAATATTCACTTACAAATGTAGTTCTTTAAATTTGCTGCACACACACATCGATTTGATTTGTCTGTCTTTCAAGTCATTTGAACACAAGGACACAAGGATAGGAAATCGTAGGCAAAAACGTGAAATAATCACACTGGGTACATTTTTCCAGTTCTCAATCAGCTGTTTTCATATGGTAGACACTGCATAATTTTGTCACTGAGTATATTCCTGATCTTCATTTTCTCCCATTAAAATCCATACACACTATCTATTCTGTCTCTGTACCTTCCAAAATATTAATAATTCAACTAGTTTTCCCTAATTCTCTTGGTTCTGTTTCCCACCCACCTCCCACCCACCCCACTTCCTCCTTCTTTCTTGTTTCAGAATGCCTAACTCTTACACACTCGAGGTGGTTTTTTTTTTACAAAAATCACTCTTTGGGATGCTCTTCCCTTTTCTCTCCTTAAAAATATTTCCCACAGATAGGCGCCAATGTCTTTCTTTTACAAGATCAAACTGCGGAAGAGGACGAGACTGGGAATCGAGTAAGCGAAACATTTGAGAATGTCAATGAGACAGCGGCCTCTCCTTTGAAAAGAAAACACAACTCTCAGCACAGACCTTTCAACAGAGCAAAAATACTTTTTATTTTCCGCTGTGTTCCTGTTCCCTCCCCGACCTCAAAGACACCTTTCCTTTTCTCTAAGCCCCAGTCGCTTTGCTATGCGTGGGGCCTGCCTTTCCTCCTCCCGAGGAAAAGAAAGAGGGAGAAAAGAAAAGGTAGCAATCACCTTCCCGCCGCGCCCGCGAGCTGTCAGGATCGTGCCCTACGACTCACCTGGCAGGTGCGGCCGCCCGGAGAGTTGCACGAAGCGGTTGAGCTGGCCGGTCCCCCGACCCCCGCTGCCCCCACTGCCCCCGCCGGCCCCGCTACCTCCGCCGCCGCCGCCACCACCGCCTGCGGCGCCTCCTCCCCTCCGGCGGTTCCTGTCCCAGCCCTGGGCGGCCGACATGACCCGCTAACGACAGCTGCAATCCGATCGCGGCAGCCCGTGGCCCGGCGGCACTAGCCGAGGCTCCTTCCTGGGCTCCTCAAGAGACCCGGGAGACAGGGGAAGGGGGAGCGCCCTGTCTCACCAGCGGCCAATGACTGACGGACTTGGTGACAGAGAACCAATGGCCAGTCGTCTTCTTGGTAGGTGGAGGGAGGCGGGGAGAGACGTGGTAACCATAGCTATGGCTAAAAAAAAAAGTGGGGGGAGAGAAAGGCAGAAGCAGCCACTCATCACTCGCATCCACCGCGCTAAGCAAGACCGCGTTGTAGTGACTCCTGCGGGATCAGGCGAGCCAATCGAAGGCCGAGTGAGAGAGGCCACGCCTGCAGAGAGTCCCAGTGGCGACTCCAGGCGTGTCAGGATTCAGGAATGGGACGCGCACATAATACAGATATTTTGAGGCAGTACTGTGTTCTGCCAGCTTTACAGGCTGAGATCCCTTTCCCACACTACACAAAGAGCTCTCTTCGAGGGGGAAAAAAACAGGGGGCGGAGTCAAAGCTTAACTGTAAGAATGAGGTTTCATTTGTCTTGTCTTTCAGTCGACTGGCGGAACTCCTCCCTAATTCAATATAAGCCACGTCCCAAGCAAACAGTTTTAAACCTGGTTAACAAACATGGGAAGATGTTCAAGCTCACCAGTAATCATAGAATACAAATTAAGACCCCAATGAGAAGCCGTTTCAGGCTTATTACGTTAGAAAGATTGTTAAAATAACACCCAGCAGTGAGTTGAGTCCCAAGAAAAATGTTCTTTCATAGATGACTGATGGCTATGTAAATGTTTTTGTTCAAATTCATTTTTGCTCATAGAAAATTTGAATCAGCTGGAAGACAGGAACAGGTACGGAGGATCAAGATCAAAGAAAAATGTAGATGTACAGATCAGGAATTCCTATTGTTCCAAAATTAAACAGAAAATTTGGCTTTGAACTTACTGGGCACAGTGCAAAGTGGGAAAATAGATTGTTCACTGACGTTTATGAGTGGTAAGGGAAAACCATATTAATTCCTCAAGGGAAACAAAACTTTTCAAGATTCTTAGATCTGGTGGATTTATTTTTTGGGTGTGTGTGTGACGTTTCATGTAGGAGAACCTTACGTGATGAAATGAAAAAAGAAAATCTGCTGGAGCTGAGGATGCGTATCCTCTTGGTGCAAATTTCATGTCCCACTGGCCCCGCCTCCTTATTTTGCTACTTTCAGGCCCTGTGGGCAGGTATTTTACCCATGAAGCATTAGAAAGCACTGCTTACAAAAATGTTTGAGATCTGAAAAAAAAAGTCTATGGCTCTAAAATATGAAAATCAAAATTAATCAATATTAATTTTTATAAAGAAACTGTAGCATTGAGTAACCAAATAATAGATGAAGAAAATTTTCTTTTTATAGGAGTATTCCAAGTAATAAATAATGAGTGATAGACTATCACCATTTTGCAATCTCTAATGAATTCAGAGATCAACCCACTGAGCATCAACCAGTGCTGTTATCACAAAAAGAAAGTTGAAACATACATGCCTCTAGAATGTAAACATGACTATGAAGTAGTCTTGTAGGAAAAAATTGAACCTGAATCCCATCAGAGGTCTATATCTAACCACCAATTTATAGGAAATATGGAGGACAGAGGAACATTAAAAAATGCTACAGAGATGCAAAAAGCAAAATCCAGACTATGGATATTCTACAGGATAAACAAGCAAATTTCTTCAACAAAAATTCCAGAGGAAAAAGATTTGAAGGGAAATAAAATCTATAGATTAAAAAGAGACTTGTGATGATTGTATAACTCTGTGAATATATTAAAAATCTTGACTGGCATTGGTTACACAACTTTGTTAACATATTAAAAACCACTGAATTGTACACTTGAAAAGGGAGAATTTTATGTTATGTGAATTATATCTCAAAAAAATTTTAAATAACATGGGAGGAGTGGATGGTGAGATAGATGAAACAACACTGACTTCATTTTAAATCAGTAAATTATATGTTATGTGAATTATATCTCAATAAAGCTGTTTTAAAAGAGAGCAACTTAAGAGGTATATCAACAAATTGCAATAACATTCACCCTTTAGTAGCATTACCAAACCAAACTTGGGTCCACTCACCCATGCACAGTAAAGCCAAGGAAGGAATGTGCAGCGTTTACTGCAGACGCCAAACAAGGAGTAGGGGCAGCTAATGCTCAAAAGACCTGAACTCCCAGATGGATTTTAGATAAGGGTTTTTAAAGGCAAGGTGAGGGAGAGTCACAGGGTGTGTGATCAGCTTGTGCATAATTCTCTGATTGGTTGATGGTGAGGTAACAGGGGGATGTCACAGGGGTTAACATCATCAGTCTTCAGGCTCCAGCCTGTCTGGGGGCTAAGTGTTCATGGTCATCATGCAGTTAGCTTCTTCCATCTGGTGGGGTTTACAGTATCTGTAAAACAACTCAGGAATGCACATCAGACACTGTCATCTATGTCCTTCAGGGAGGAACTAAAGGTTCTGTGACTATACTATATGGCTGATCTATTGTTTAAGTTGTCACCAGTTCTCCTGGCCCAACTGCTATCTTTTGTTACATGTTCACATTCTTCCAGACATTAACTCTTGAGCCAGCCTTTTGTGGCTTAGGGGAGGCCTGAGAGACTAAAGGTTTTCTACAAACAAGCAGCAGGCAGAGGACATGGGGTGGGGCTCGGGGGGGGTCTGTCCTGGGAAGACCCCTAGGGTGCAATAGTAAGCCTTATGTGAATACTGATTCATAAAAACTGGGGCAAAAAGCATGGATGAGACCACTAGAAATCTGAACACTGAATATTTTATGACATAAAGAATTGTTAATTTTTAGGTGGAATAATATTATTGTGGCTATGTTAACAAGAATCCTTTTCTTTTCTTTTTTTTTTTGGCCGTGCCACATGGCTTGTGGAATCTTAGTTCCCCGACCAGGGATTGAACCCCAGCCATGACAGTGAAAGCACCAAGTCCTAACCACTGGACCACCAGGAAACTCCCCAAGAGTCCTTATCTTTTAGATATACATACTGAAATATGTGTGGATAAAATTATATAAGTCACTTATTTGCTTCAAAATAATATAGGAACCAGAAATTCCACTCCTAAGTGTATACCCAAGAGAAATGAAAACATACGTCCACACAAAGATGTGTACATTGCTGCTTATAGCAGTATTATTCACAACAGCCCCAAAATAGAAAAAACCCAAATGTCCATGGACTGACGAATAAACAAAATATGGTATATCCATACAACAGAATATTATTTGGCAATAAAAAAGTGGAATACTGATACATGGATAAATGTTCAAAAATTATGCTACGTGAAGGAAGCCAATCACAAAAGACCACATATTATATGATTCTGTTTATTCAAAAATGTCCAGAATAGGCAAATCCATAGAGAAGGAGATTGGTGGTTGCCAGGAGCTGGGGGAGAGAAGAAGGAGTACAGGGATTCTTTTTTTTTTTTTTTGTGCAGTACGCGGGTCTCTCACTGCTGTGGCCTCTCCTGCTGCAGAGCACTGGCTCACGGGCCCAGCTGCTCCGCCGCATGTGGGATCTTCCCAGACCGGGGCACAAACCTGTGTCCCCTGCATCAGCAGGTGGACCCTCAACCACTGCACCACCAGGGAAGCCCAGGGATTCTTTTTAGGGTGACGAAAATGTTCCGAAATTAGACAGTGGTGATGGTTACACAATTTTGTGAATATATTAAAAACCACTGAATTGTACACTTGGAAAAGTGAATTTTATGGTACATGAATTATATCTCATTAAAAACAATTTTTGATAACACAATCCTTATCAATCCTTTTGATAAGGAGAGAGAAGTGGATGGGGAGCTAGCCCACCTTTGTATATGTTAAAAATTCTTCATAATAAGAAGGAAAACAATCTACAAAAATAAGATGATATTAACCAATCAACTGAAAACCATCTCATATAGTTACATAAATATATAACCATTTTAAATTCCAAGAACAAAATGAAAGATTTATTCTGAACTAAATTTAAAATTATTAAATTATTTTAAAAGCCTTTTAGGACTTCCTGGTGGCTCAGTGGTTAAGAATCTGTCTGCCAATGCAGGGGCACGGGTTCGAGCCCTGGTCCAGGAAGATTCCACATGCTGCGGAGCAATTAAGCCCATGCGCCACAACTACTGAGCCTGCACTCTAGAGCCCGCAAGCCACAACTATTGAAGCCCGCGTGCCTAAAGGCCGTGCTCCACAACAAGAGAAGCCACCGCAATGAGAAGACTGCGCACCACAACGAAGAGTAGCCCCCGCTTGACGCAACTAGAGAAAGCCCTTGCGCAGCAATGAAGACCCAATGCAGCCAAAAGTAAATAAATAAATAAATTTATTTTTTTTAAAAAAAAGCCTTTTAAAAAGGTTACAGCTGATTTTTAACATGGAGTGTGGGTACACTGATGGGTATCAACATGCTTTGGAGAGGGGCCTTCAAAATAAGTGCATGCAGACAATATATACCCACTAACATGATATAATATGAAGTACACAATATCACCTATGGAGTAATTATGCCAAAAACATTAACTTGAATTAATGAAGATATAAGTGCTAATGTCCAGTTTATAGGAACTTTCAGGGGACAAAGGAACAAGTTAAATGGCATGTGAAATGATCTAACAAATCCAGAGGGACAGTCTCCATAATAGCTAGACTGATCTTGCCAATAAGTCAATGTCATAAAAAACAAAATGAAATAACACAAAAACAAAATGCGAGGGTGGTAACCCCTAATGACATAATAGATCTAAGCAATGATAATCAATGGCTGCTAGCACAGCAAAAAGAAACCAGCAGACATTACGTCGATGAAGTATTCTTACCAAAAAAAAAAAAAAAAAAACCCAGAATCTGAATAAAGTCAAAGTTTTAGCTCTAACTACCAGTTCACAGGAAATAAAAGGACAGAGAATATGTTAAATGATATCTTAGGGATGTAATCTGGAAAATATATAATGTGGAAAACTCTACAGAACAAATAGCCTGTTTTCTTCACCATTACATTTCAAGGAGAAGGAGGAAAAGG